AGGAATGGCGTTCACCAAGGAACCTGGGAGGCCTTTAATCACTCCAAAGTTCTTTTTGAGATCACTCTAATGCTGCACATGGGATGGACCTCACGCTTGTGTTCCTAAATTGCTGTTGAGGATCTTCCCAAACTGGTATAATACCTATTTATTCTGCTTTATAGAAAGTAGCCATGTTAGTCTCCTGTAGCCCAAACAACAGAGTTTTGTGGTATCTTGACACCAATGCTTTATTTTTGTGCTGAACAGTCAGCTTAATTAAAAAAAAAAAACAATTCTGGGGAACCTGAAAGTTTACTCACTGAATACAGGAAGCTCCCTTATACTGAATCAGACTGTCGGTCCATCAAGGTCAGTATTGTCTACTCAGACTGGCAGAGGCTCTCCAGGTTAGCAAGCAAAGGTCTTTCACATCACTTCCTAAATCCTTTTAATTGGAGATGCTGGGAGCTGAACCCAGGACCCTCAGCATGCAAAGCGGATGCTCTACCACTGAGCCACGCCTCCACCCTACTGTTGTGAAACATTTTGATTGGTCCTGCTTAAAAAGGTATTGCAGGACAGCTGCTTTTGGTCTCATTTGTTTCGATGAGTCAACAAGGCTACCTGCAAAAAGAGAGTGACAGCAGCGGTAGAACGTGACGCATCTCAGTTGCCAAAATTCTCTCTTCTGCAACTACCCATCCTGTATTGCTTTTCTTTTTCTTTTTTGCTGCCCCTGTACCTCTGAGTGCCTGACGCAAACACTCAACAAGTGATGCTTTCTCTGACAAAGAAGACCAGTGGCTGGTGGAGGCTTCATCTGCCTCCACAGATGTGTCAGCCTGAGAGAGAGGCCAGAAAAACCTTGTGCTAAGAAAGCAAATGCTATGCTATTTAGACCAGTGTTTCCCCTCCTTTGGCACAGAAACAGTGCCATTGGCCAGTCAGGGTTGCCCACTTTTGCCTAGGTTGAGAATTCCAAGAGCTGCAAATTTTCCCATCATGAAAACATTAGGGGCAAAGAAGCACCTCTGGCATCTTCTTCACCACCAACAACTGAACAAAGTCCTTATTGGAACTGGTTAGTGCTGTTCCAACCAACCACTGGGGTGAGGGAAACATACCCTACTATAGGACTGGGCAAATATTTTAGCCTTTGGGCTTCATCCAGGCTTGTCAGGACCCTTCCTCTTTCCAGGGGAGTTGATCCTAATCAAAGGTATTAAGTGGCTTTTGTTTCCAGAGGGGAGGGTCCCTGTGCCTTTAAAGAGCCACCTCAAAGGCACCAGGTGTGGCTTTTCCCATCACATCTTTGCAGTGATTTGAAGGGGCTTTTCAGGTCAGCCTCTGGGTCTATTTAGCTTGGGCTACAGGCTACTAAGGCGTCTTTCTGTTTTCTTCTTCAAGGCCTGTAAGTAAAGGGTTGGCTTCAATGAGGCTCCCCCCCCCTTTATAACTTGGGGTATCTCAGTGAGGGAACTGTAACTGATAAAGTTGGTAAATGAACCTTAAAGTCTGACAGAGCTGAAAAGCCTGCAGTAGCGGAATTGATACACTGCAGTGCATTTCTGTTCCCCCCCCCCAAAAAAAATGTTGTAAACAGGGTCAGATTGAGACATACTGAGGCCCTAAACTATGTCAACTATAAAAGGTCCTATAGCATTACCTCCCTCCTCCATGCTAATTTAAAGAACAGATCTCCTCAGAAACCTGCTTGAGTCTACTCAATGGGGGTTTACTCTCAGGAAGGTGTTCTTACAATTGCACTATCAGTAAAAGAAAAGTATTACTTAGAATCCCCTCACAATCTGAGCTGTGAATATAGTTTACTTAGCTTGTACATAAAACCAGCTCTGGATGCAGACAGGGCTATAACTGTCGCTCTCTTCTCCTTGTCTTGTCCTAGGGAGCAAGCATGGCTGAAGCCCCCCTGAAGGAAGTCCAGCAGTGGCCTCTACTCTTGACTTCTCCCCCAGAGATTCTTGGAGAGATCCTGAGTGAGCAGTTTGGCCCCCTGCCCTTCATGGCGCCCATTACCCGAATGAAGAGGAAGCCCTCCGGCTACTACTTTTCCACTGAGAACCGGGAGCAGGTCCTGGGCAGGAGGCATGCTGCTAATGCAAAAGAAAGAGAGAGGGTAAGTAGGGACCACAGCTCAGTCTAGAAGGCTTGCCTGCTGGATGCTTGCTTAAAAATGCCCAATGTGGTTCATGGTAACAAAATTAAGCAATACAAAGAATTGATGAAGCACCAGTGTCTACGGTTGCAGAATAAGCTACTATCAAAGCATTAAAGCAGGCCAGCCAAAGAGAGAGAGGGTGAGGGATAAGAGAGAACAAATTTGACAAAAACTCTGGGTAGATAAACCTAGCAGTTTTTTTATTTGCTTCATTTCTCATTGAAACACGAATCAGATTTCAGAGTTACGGAAGTAATGCAATAAATGCAGATATAAGGCATACAATAAGCAATGCAATAAAACTGGATGACACAGTTAAAGAACACCAAGATAAACACAGAAGAAAACATCCAATGAATTGGGATTTCACAACTGGAGAACAAAGAAACAACACATCACATCAGATATGGACTTAAATCTAGCTATATCACATATATGTCTAGTGCTACAATCTAATATTAATGAGGCAGAAAAGAGAACTGCCTACAATTTTGAAGATAAAACCCAGCACTTTGAATGGTTCCTGGAAACAAATCGGTAACCCACTGTAGTTCTTTTAAAGCCAGCAGAATGTGTTCTTTCACCAACACTGGGCTGCAATGCAATAAGGCTTACCTGGGAACAGGGGTCATTTCGTAGAAAAAGAGGTGCAAGAGCTCATTAGCATAACTTATTAGCATAACTTATTTGCATATGCCACACCCACGGACATCATCAAAAGTGTGTCAGAAGGCGACACCCACCGCTCAGGCTCCACTGGACTGTTTTGGATTGCTAG